AAGCTTGGAGATAGGGTAGGATGGCTAGCCATCGAGCTCTAGGCATCTGTCTGTCACCACACCAGGCTTTTAAAATGAAAGCTGGAGATCAAACTCAGTAGTCCCTCAGCTTCCATGGCAGCACCTTGCCAACTGAGCCATCTCCCAGCCCCTTCTGCTCCCCCATCACCCCTACTGTGTTCAGTTCACTCAAATTCTCTCTCTCTCTCTCTCTCTCTCTCTCTCTCTCTCTCTCTCTCTCTCTCTCTCTGTTGTTTTCCTTGTTTTTGTTTTTCTTTTTACAATCCTTTTAGTGTAAATTTTGATATGGTTATTACTGTTTAAACTGTGAAATCTGATATATTGTCTTTAAAGGAACTTACTAAATGGTGGACTAAAATAGGAATAGATTGATTTAACATTTGGGTTTGTTTTGTTTTACTAATAATGAGTAACAAGTGGTTTGTCACTTTAGTAAGAAAAGAAAATAACTGTTGGTTGACTAGAAAGAACTAATCTAATTTTACCTTGGACACTCTACATCTTTTCAGTATTTTATAAGAAGAAAATATAGCGTGCTTGTGTTCTGTTTGGTTTTGTTCTGACCAAATGCTTGGGGTAATTACCTAAGGAAGGAAGGATTTCTTCTGGTTCATGGTTTCAAGTCATGGTCAGCTGGCTGCGTTCGTTCTGAGCCTGTGGTGGCGGGATAGCATGGTGGAAGGGTTGGCGTGGGACAGCTGCTTCACTGTGGCAGTCAGGAAGCAAGAAGGAGCCTCCAAAACCCTGTAAGTCTGTGTCATTCTCCGGGACTCGAAGACCAGCAGCGTCTGAATCATACCTGGGTCTCCTGTCGGCTCAGTCCCTGTCACTTCTCTAGGTGACCCTGCCCCTTTACTCTCTTCCAAATAAGTCTACTCCTTTACCCTGGAGCTTGGGGTGCACAGGACCCAACCCCTCCTGAAATGCTCAGGATTTCCTGTTGTGGAGTCGTGTCTTTCTTGTAGGGCTCTTTTCTTCAGCTGTCTCACCTTTTCTAGCCAGACTGCAATTTTTCACTAAACGCCTTTGTGTTCTGCTTTTGGGATCAGTTGTCAGTATAGCCCTGACTAAAAGCAGCTAGTCATCCAGACTCAGCCTGCCTGCTGCCCCGCACTGCAGTTTCCTTCATCAGATAATTAGACATCACCCTTTTGTTCATCCTCACCTCCCACAGGGGCTGAAGTCATACACAAGATGGGAACAGATTGTTTGCCACAGTGAGCCATGAATGGCTCCGGTCCTGTTCATTAGATTTTGGAGTGCAAAGTAAAGAGACAGAAGGCAGAAAGAGACCAGAGGCCGACCTCAACAGATGAGTCTGTTTATTTCAGACAGTGAAGGTCAGGAGCAGAGGTTCTGCAGGGGGAAAGCTGGCAGGGACCCTTTATAGCAGTGGCTCTCAGTCTGTGGGTTGTGACCCTTTGGGGGTCGGATGACCCTTTCACAGAGGTTCCCTAAGACCATCGGAAAACATATATATTTAATTTTACAATTCATAGCAGTAGCGAAAATACAGTTATGAAGTAGCAACTAAAATAATCATCTGGCCGAGGACCACCACCACAACATGAGGAAAGGGTCGAATCAAGGGTCCATCAAAGGGTCGAAGCATTGGGAAGGCTGAGAAGCCCTGCTTTATAGGGACAGGTAAGGGTCTTGGGAATGAGGAATTGGTGCAGCTGTGGGGATCTGCAGGCTCTTCTGGAATTGTTTGGACAGATTATTTGGAGAGATAGCCTGTCCCAGCAAATACTCCTTCCTGAGTTGTGGCTGACATTTGAGCAAGGTCAGCTGTAATCGCATAAGAATTCCATTTTACAGCCCAGGTCCTCTGTCACAGCTCCTGATGGAGTTCCCACCTGAAATCTCTTAAGTCTCGCCTTCACTATCCATGTGCCTTTGGGATTCTGGGCTGCAAGCTTAGTAAGTACTAAGTAAGCTCTACAAGTTATAGCGCTTGAAGCTTTTCCAAGCCGGTTTCCCCAAACTCCCAATGCTTCCCACAAATGAGTTACAAAAGCTTCTGGACCACATTGCTAGGCAGCCACAATGGCCGTGTGTGTGTGTGTGTGTGTGTGTGTGTGTGTGTGTGTGTGTGTGTGTGTGTGTGTGTGTGTGTGTTAGTTTCTCATCACTGTTGTCAGATAAAGATCTGGTCACAACCTAGGGAACAAGGATCTATCTGGACTCAGGGTTCCTGGGCCTGTGCTGGGACAGAACATTATGGTGAAAAAACAAAACACCTCATGGCAGCCAAGAAGCATAGAGACAGAGAGGGACTGAATCTTACCTTTACAGTGACCTACCTTAGTACTTCCTGTACCAGGTCCAACTTCCTAGTTCCCATCATCTCCCTAAGGTGGCATTAGATTGTGACTCCATGGATAGGTGCAGACCTCATGATCCAGTCCCTTCCCCCAACCCCCTGAGCTGGCAGCCCTACCTTTAACACACAGACTTTTAGGGGCAGTTCAGATTGAAGACAGAGCACGTTTGTATGTATTGTACATACATGTAGTGTATGGGTGGGGATGTTCATTGCACTGTGATGTGACAGTGGCCTCAGTCCCGAGTCTTGATGCCTCATAAGCTGCTGTCTGCCCGGTGTGATGCTTTGTGTCACTGACAGCTGTATTTTCAGCATCATGTAACTTGTCACCTGTTCATTGATTGACACTATAGAATGGAACTGTTGCTATTGTGTGTTCTTTGTGCGTGCTAGCACTATTCGTTCTCAATAGCTGGGTGATCTTTCCCTTTTCCAGGGCAGTAGTTTTTCTGTCCAATAACTTGTTTCCTGAGCATTTGCACGTCACATGTGGCAAGTAGGAGGATGTCCCTAATTTTGCTGGGGCTGTTCCTGCTGTTCTTCATAGACAAGGATAATGTAGTTAGTGGGGTGGCTGAGATTAAGTCAGATGTTTTCATTGTTACTTCCCTGAGGAGTCACCACTATGTTCTCATTTCTCCATTACTGTCTGTCACTTTGGTTCTGCTCCAGAATTGCTCTGTTTACTTCTTTAAATGGAAAATATTAAAAGGTAAATGTATTCACATTTTTCAGGCTCATTTCTTAAGCATTCAGATTACAGTGAGCACCTGTAACATAAATCTAACCTGTTCATAGTTCTTGACCTGGTTTGGCCCTGGCCATCGGTTGCTAGCCCTAATAATATCTTGGAATTACAGGATGTTTTAGAATGTGCTGCACTCTGGTAGCCTATCGAGCTCATTATGGTTTGAATCTGAGTTGCCCCCCAAAGATTCATGCATTTGGGGCTTTGTTGCCTTCCTAAGATCGCCGACTTATTCAACAGATTAATCCCTTGATAGATTTGTAATCTGATGGCACTCTCAAGAAGTCAGGCTTGTTGGGGAAGTGGATCACTGGGACATGCCCTGGAAAAATGGACCTTGTTCTCGGCCCCATTCTGCCTCTACTTCCTGGCCACCATGAGGTAAACAGTTCTACCCCATCCTTCCTTTCCTGTCATGCTTTACTTTACCACAGGCCCAGAAGCAGAGGAGTCGGGTAAACATTTACTCAGACCTTGAGCCAAAGTAGTCTCCTTTAAATTGTTTCTGTTGCATATCTGCCAGGGAGATGGAAGAACTAACTACTATGTAGTTCCTTACCTTTTTTCAGGAGTTTAGCAACCAAAAATATTTGTTGCAAATGCAGTAGGTTCTGAGTACACATGAATAGTAGTTACATAGTGATATTAAAAACAGCAACTCTGTGGCGTTGATGGAATATAAGATGACACAGCACAAAAGTTCAAAGCTTGCAGAAGACAAGCATAAGACCTATGTGTTAGTTGCTTTTCCATTGCTGTGCAGAAACCATGATCATGGTAACTTATAGAAGGAAGAGTTTAATGAGACTTAACCATCTCAGTGTTAGCTTCCCTGACCATCATAGCAGGGAGCATGGCAGCATACATGGAGCTGGAGCAGGAGCTGAGATCTTGCATCCTTATCTGCAAGTAGGAGGCAGAGAGAGCCAACTGGGAAGGGTGTGGACTTTTGAAACTTCAAAGCCCTCCCCTGAGACACACCTCTTCCAACAAGACCATGCCTCCTAGTCCTTCTCAAACAATTCCACCAACGGGGGACCAAGTATTCAAATATAGGAGCCTGTAGGGGGCATTCTCATTCAAACCACCACAGCCTGTGTGTTTGAAAAATAGAAGTGTGTGAAGTGGGGCAGTTCATCTGAAAGCTCCATCCAGGAGTGAGGATACAGCTCCCCTGTTCCCGAGTAAGGCAGCAGAGACAAAGTGTAAGTCCAGAGGTAACTCTCCCAGCTTCTTTCTGAAGTGCCAGCCTTGGAACCCAGGGCCTCATCCTTGCTAAGCAAGGGCTGTACACCAAGTAGTATCCCAGCTTTTTAATGTATGGATAAACTTCTCTCTCCTAATACTTCTTCTCTCCCTTCCCCTCTGCCTCCCTCCTTCTCCTGTGTCTTTTTATTCTTGCTTTACAGCATTGCCAGTCAAATAAAATCATCTTGAGGTTTCACTCGGAGTGGCAATTCATTACCTCTATTCTAGCAATATTTTTTTAACTATCTAAAGGGACCTTTAAGATGATTATTTATAGTGATTTCATGGTACTTTTATTTGAAATTATAATCTCAATCAATGAAGATTTCATTTTAATATTAAAAATTATTGTTAATGAAGTTTTAAAATTATTATATTTTGAGATTTATTACATAATTTTCTCCTTCTCTATCCTCCCTCCAAACCCTCCCATGTAACCCCTCTTGTTAATTTTCAAATTTATGGCTCCTTTTTTCATTAATTGTTTTATATATATATATATATATATATATATAAACATATCCATTGGGACTAGGCTCTACAATTTTGTTGCGATTTTCTGTAATGGTTTTTGTCTGTGGCAAAGAAAAGTTTCCTTGATGAGGAGTGAGGACTACACCTATCTGAGTATAAAGACAAATATTGAGAGTACAGTTAGGATCATGGTGGTTTAGTGGTTATAGGTTCTCCTCCAAGTTCCATGACTGCACTAGCACTGAGTAGTTAGGTAGGGTTCCAGTACCATACGTGACTTCCGCTTGTTGATAGGGTCTTAGATCTAGTTAAAGGGAAGATGGTTACCGCTAGGGTGTGTGCCACCACTGCACCTGTGGGTTATCGGACTGTGCTGGCCATTGTTCATGGCTGGGAGGACGGTTGGTATTGCACGGCGCCTTCTGGAATCATGAAAGCTAGTCCTCAAGACATTCAGGTCCGATCCAGCTCCAGGAGCCTTTGGCCTGTGTCTGAAGTGCATGGTATCTTCAGCAGTAGGCGGCTCCCCTTTCACCTCTGGGAGAATCAACAAGAGCAAGAGCAATAGCATCAGTCCTAAATTACAAGTAAAAGGCCGTTTTCTGTGCATACTGTTCTTTTGTCCACTGTTGGGCTTGATTGATCAGGACTCGGACCTTTTCCTGAAGCTCATCCTGGGGTCACAGATTTCCTCCTTTGGGGTGGTAGAGTTATTGTGATGCGGTTCACATAGTCACAAAGTGTCTGGTGTATTTGCAGAAGTGTACTCCTGTCACTCAGATGGTATCCTGTGTAGAACGGTTTCACAATGTCAGAAACAGACCAGCCCTAGGCTACCACGGATTTCCTTGTTTCTCTGCATTCTTATACTTGCCTGTTCTGTGGGTGTCCTATAAATAGATCAATACAGTTTGTAGCCTCTTATGTCTGGCTGCTTTCACAGCATGTTTTCAAGGTTCATCTTGTTGTAGCATGAATTAGTGTCCTCCCTTTTTAGTTCTTTGAGAATTTTATACAGTGAATTTTTATCATTTTCATCTCTTCTCCCATTCCTCCCAGAACCACCTCCCTTCCCTACCAACCCAACTCCATGTCCTTTTTAAATCCATCCAATTCAGTTTGTGCTGCCCATATGCTAGAGCATGATCTACCTGCCTTGAAGAGAACCCACTCTTCTACAATAGCTCTCAGTTGCCAGTAACTCCTCAGCTCTACTGGAACTTCTTGCCTTCTCCCACCCCCCGCATGCTGGGGTTTTGTCTGGCTGGAGACGGTATAGGACTTGTGCGTACTGTCGCACGTGCAGTGTGGATTCACACATGCAGCTGCCTGCTGTGTCCCAAGGACATTGTTTCCTTGTCATCCACCCTCTCTCCGTCTTCCAACTCTTTCCCTTTGCAGTGATCCCCAAGCCTTGGAAGGTGTGATATGGTTGTCCCATTTTGGACTACACATTCTGTATTCTCTTCTTCTCTGCAGCCTGACCTGCTGTAGGTTTCTCTATTAATTACCAAAAACAAACAAAAAACGTAACATGCTAAGGATGTACCACGTTAGGGATGTTTCTTCATGAAGGTTGAGAGATGCACTAATATCTAGGTATAATGATGTCATTAGGAATCAGTTTGTTATTATGTCCATTTAGAAGAATAATTGTGGTGGATTCTCCCCTAGAGTATTTACTCCTTTTTATTGCTGAGTAATATTCCAGTGAATGGATATACCATTCTGTTTGTCCAGGAAGTGGAGTTTTGAGTTGTCATGTTTTGGCTGTTGCACATAAGCTGTTATCAACATTCATATACATAGACTTCATATGGACTTCTGTTTCAGTTTCTCTAGGGTATCTATTTAGGAGTAGCATTGGGACGGATTATAATTTTGATTTGTTTAATATTTTGAGAAATAGCCAACTTCAAAACAACTGTATCAGTTTTCATTTCTATCAGCATTGTTTAATGCTTTCAGCTTCTCTCCATGTCTTTCCCAATACTTGACACTCATGATCTGACTGATCGTAGATATCTGATTGTTCAGTGTTACTTCATTCCTCATGGATGAGGTTGGGTATTTTCTCATGTGCTTACTGCATGTTTGTATGTCATCCTAAAGAAATGCCTCTGTAGGCCCTTTGCCAGGATTTTTAAAGAATTTTACATTAAATTTATTTATTTTTGGTTTTTAGAGACAGGGTTTCTCTGTCCTTGGCTGTCCTGGAACTAGCTCTGTAGACCAGGCTGGCCTCAAACCCACAGAGATCCACCTGCCTCTGCCTCCCGAGTGCTGGGATTAAAGGCGTGAACTACCACCACCGCCCAGCCAAAGATTTACTTGTGTGTAACTTTTTGTCAGCATGTACATAAGTAAACCATGTGTATGAGTGATACTTGTGGAGGTAAATGAGGGTGTCAGATCCCCTGGAATTGTAGTGTCAAGTTAGCTGCCATGGGTCCTCGTTAAGAGCAGAAGATGCTCTTAACCTCTGAGCCATCTCCCCCTCTCCCTTTACCCCTTGTTAACAATGCTAGTTGTACTGGCCTGCCACTTCTATACTTGGTTTTGGAATATTAGGTATTAAATGGCCATAAATACATTGAAAATAATGTTTATAATTCTTAAAACTATAAAATTAGGATAATAAATTTAGAAAATTAAAAATCAGAGTTTTTAGGTGCAAGGTCAGAAGCTCTTGATTTCCCCCAAAAACTTATATTATGAGCAGTGTGTTTAAATGTGTGAAATTTGCACTTGTGAGTTTTGTAGTGAAAACATGGGTTTCTACAGAACACTTCCCAAACTTGTGGTGAGGGGCAGCTGTTCTGAAGGAGCCACGTGGATATTCCTTACATCTCCATTGAGTTTGTACTTGAACCATATTTAGCAAGACTTCCAAGACCTTTTACAACACGTCGTCCATCCTTGGAACTTCTGCTCTTCAGTTTATAGGACCACTAGCACAAATGAGTTTGTCTGGACCTCACTAGCAGTGCTGGACTTCATATGTAAATGTTCTGTTGTGTGCTACACGTCATGTTACTGGTGGTTTGTTACTTGATCATCCCACTAAGGGTTATCAGTCCTTTATACTTCTTACAGCTCTCCTTAATAGTAAGCTTTTCTAGCTAGTTAGAACCAATGGATTTTTTGAAGCTGCCTTGCTGTTTGGAGAAGTAGGTTTGTAAGAGTAATAGAAAATATTTTCAGTTAATTTTGCCTTTAAGCTGCAATAGCATTACTTTGAAATTATTTTAAGTAATGTTTGGAAAAGGAAAGCAGCATTCAGAGAATTACACTATTAGGTAGATTCTTTGTCCAGAAAATTCATGAATTTAACCAATGGGGAAACTAGCAAGTTTGAAAATTATTAAAAATTTACTGCACTTCTTTTTTAAGTGAAAGTGATTTATATATGATAAAAAGCTCATACTTTATTGGAAGGCATAAAATTAAAACCCGTTTACATTTTTACCTCCCTCCCCAAATCAGCAGGCCTTTCTTCAGTTAACTAGACAGGAATTTCTTACTCCTTTGCTGTTTGTTTCTTGAGCATCCTTTTATTGTTCATGTTTTCCCAACTCAAAGTGCAAAGTCAGTCTTGTATTTTGCTTTTCATTGACAGTATTCCAGGGTCTAAGTGTATGAGGCTTACATAGCTATCTACTGTTAGTGGTTTGTTTGTTTGTTTTGTATTTCCATCTAGAAAGAACACCGAATGGCCCAGGGTAGGAGCTGACTAGGATGTTTGAGTTCCAAAGTAGAATTGGTGGTAGTATTAGCATGTGGTGACCAACTCCACAGGAAAGGCTCCTGCACTGCAGCAAGAGTGCAGAGGAGACTGGTGCTGCCTGGCCAGGCTTGAAAGACTTGTGGGTTTAGTCGGGCATGGTGCCTCACGCCTTTGATCCCAGCACTTGGGTGGCAAAGGCAGGCAGAGCTCTGAGTTTGAGGCCAGCCTGGGCTACAGAGCTGTTTTAGGACAGCCAGAGATACATAATAGACCGTGTCTCAAAAAACAAAAACAAAAACAAAAACCAACAAAGACTTCTGAGCTTAAATTCAATCTAGTTAAACTATAAAAATCAAATTATGTTTGGAAATACACTTTAAAATCTTCATTACCATGTTCTCCATAGTGTTTCCCTCCCTTTACATGTTGGGTTAGAATTAAGCAAGTCAGATGGAAGCTGTTTTTAATGTGATGGAGTCAGAAAACTTTTTTCTTTGCTGTGTGCTTTAGTTATTTTTCTATTGCTGTGAAGAGACACCATGACCAAGGCAACTTACAAAAGAAAGCATTTAATTGGAGGCATATTTGCAGTTTCAGAGGGTTAGTCCATGGTCATCATGGCAGGGAGTATGACAGTAGGCAGGCAGGTTATGGCCTTGGAGCAGTAGCTGAGAGTTTACATCTTATCCATAAATTAGAGGCAGTGGGTGTGGGGAGGGGCGGGGACCAGAAGGCAGACAGAGAGACACACTGACAGACTGGGCCTGGCTCTTTGAAACCTCAAGACCCATACCTGGTGACACACCTCCTCCAAGACCACACTTCCTAATCCTTCCCAAAACAGTTCCACTAGCCAGGACCAAGCATTCAAATGTATGAGCCTATGGGGGACACTCATTCAAACCACTCTACTTCTGTGATTTAAACAAAACAAAAATCAAACAAACAAAGCCATGACTGAAAGCAGCTTGAGGAAAGGGTTTATTTTATCTCACATGTCTCAGTTGATTACAGTCCATCCCAAGGGAAGTCAGGGCAGGAGCAGAGGCCGTGGAGGAGCACTTCTTACTGACTGACTCCCATGGGCTTGCTCAGCCTGCTTCACTCTAGCATCCAGGAACACCAGCCCTGGAGTGGTCCCACTCACAGTGGGCCGGGGCCGGCGCCGGGGCTGGAGCTGGGCCTGGACCCTCCCCATCAGTCACTAAGAATGTCCTACAGGCTTGTCCACCACAGTTTCTCAATTGACACTCTCTTCTCAGATGACTCCAGCTTGTGCCAGGTTGACATAAAAACTAGTCAGCACAATACTTTTATATTAAACTTAGATTAACTAGAATTAAGGGAGACTGAGCTATTTATGGTTAATTGAGTTTTTGTTTTGCATGTTTCCCTATTACCAGAATTCCCCGATCTGTACCTTTTCTTGATTGAACACTGTTGGTGCTAGTTTGTGTCTACTAATTGTCTGTGAGAGAACTATCTTTAAATTACCTATTCTAGTTCCTTGCATAAAGGAGAGGCTGACATAAAATTAAGTTTCCTGTAAGTAGTAAGCAGGGCTTTTGCTGAAAATAATCTAATCTTTCATTGAGATTTGGTGGGTTTCCCCCAATAAACTAAGTGTATTACAGAGTTTTAGAAAGCATCAATAAAAAGGCAGTACAAAAGTGTTAACTTCTACTTTTAGATTGCAGAAGGCAAGAGTGGGTTTCCTTCTTAATGTTGGAGTGTGTGCTCCTTGCGTTCACGCTCAGCTTCACCCCAGTAGAGGACTTGGAGCACAAGACTCTCACCTCTATGGCTAGAAGTAGCTGGCCCATCTTGCCTATCCATGTTTGTATTTTAACTGTGTCTTGTATTTACATAGTTTCTTTGTTACCCTTTAGAGAAAAAAGCTAATCTCTAAAACATTTTTGGTTTGTTTATAGGTTGGTCAAAGAAAAAGTGATGTATGAGAAAGAAGCAAAACAGCAAGAAGAAAAGATAGAAAAGATGAAGGCTGAGGACGGTGAAAACTACGCCATTAAGAAGCAGGTGAGGCTGACACTTGGGAACTGTGCTGACTGCTGTCGGCTTTCCACAGCCCTCAGAGATGGGACTGTTCTCTGGGTGGTGGGAAAGCTGAGACGGGATCACTACAAGCTGGAGGCCAGCCTACGGACTAGTGAAGCCCTTTCCAACAAGCACAGCAAAGATAGAAAGCAGAAACTTAGTGAAATAACTGAACTGCCGTAGGTCACACAGCGCTCTTGTTTGAACACAAGCATTCCATTGTTGCTCTCGGCCATGAAGCTCTGCAGGTCTCCAGTTCTAAGTATTAAATACAAGTTAGATAAATACTAAGTGTAATTACATCTTTAAATTTAGAAATAGCTCCCAAATTGATGTGCAGACCACCAAAATAAAATACGTATTTCTCATGATAGTTCAGAAATTGATGCAGACCAGATATCCATCTACAATGAATGGATAATGGAAGTGTGCTGTATGCACACAGTGGAATAGAACTCATCTTAAATTAGGATGAAGTCATGAAATTTGCAGGAGACGATGGAATTGGTGGGGTTCGGGTAGTTTGTGTAAGTTTTGAGGAGTGGGGTCCATTGCTTTCAGGTTGCTAGTATTAGAGTTGTCTCTGGGACCTCTTCATTCTGCAGTGGCTACGGGAGCTGTTTGGTGTTGCTTTTGGTGACTTGTGCCTACTCACTTGGTCTTGCCAGAAGTGCATCAACTTTTTCTTTAAACTTACTGTTGTTCTGTTGGCCTTTCTCTCTATTTTTCTGACTTGTAATTTTACCGATTTGTACTTTTATAATCACTTCATTTCTTTCGATTGTTTTGAGTTTATTTGCTGCCTTTTTCTCTTTGTTTTTTGTTGCTGTTTTGATTTGGGGTTTTTGTTTGCTTGGTTTTTGTTTCTTTTGACAGGGTCTTTCTGTGTAGCCTTGACTGTCCTGAAACCCCCTAATTGACCAGACTGGCCTCCTGCCGCGGCCTTGAAGTGTTGTATTAAGTGCTGCCTCTTGTTCTCTATTGTGAGGAAGAGCACGGATTTGAGAGCACTTCACTGTGCTGATGATGGGAGCTCAGTGCCATGAATCCTCCTCTCAGCACTAGTGTAGGTCTGGCTGCCCCCCACGGCCTCTGCCCCCCCCCCACGGTCTCCCCCCCCCACGGCCTCTGCCCACCCCCCACGGCCTCTGCCCACCCCCCACGGCCTCTGCCCCCCCCCACGTGCTAAGGTAAAGGTATGTTCTAACACTGCCCTGCTGACTTGGTTAGTTTATCAGGGAAGAGTCTCCTCTTCAGTTGCTGACTGTTGTGTCATAGAACTGTACTGTCTATGATTGCGTGGTGTTTAGGTTTCTGTTTAGTTTTTACTGCTGTTGACATAGTGTGTGGCCTGCTGCAGTGTTGACAGGGCTTGATGCATTTGCACTCTCTTACGTGAGGGTTGTTTCCTTGCTAAGATGCACTGGGGTTTGGTTGTTGTTGATTTTACATCCCAACCACAGTTTCCCCTCCTTCCTCTCTTCTGATGCGGTGTTTTTTTTAAGCAGCATAGCTTACTGTGCTTGTGTCTAGTTCTTTCCTATCTTTGCTCATTTTTGTCTAGTATTTCTATAAATTGTTGAATGGAAACCCATCTATATATGTTCATTTATTTATCTGTTCAGTTCATACACAGGATCATATGTTACCTTGATGTGCTTAGAATGTTCTAATAATGTGACACTCCTTTTGTCCCTAACAGCATTTCTTGATCTGCAGCATTCTACTCTATAATACTAATGTAGCCACTTGTGCTGCTGCTGTTGTTGTTGTTTTATGTTCCATATCTTTTTCCATGCTTGTATTTTTTGTTTTTTTACATCGAAGTGAATTTCTTAAATGCCATATGGTTGAATACAGTTAGTCTATCTCCATGCTTTAGATGGTATACTTGCACCATTTACATTCATGACAGTTGTTGGTGTATCAGAGTTTACACTGCCCCGCTTCCCCTCAATGGATTCAGCAATAACCAGGGAAACAGTCAAATGGATTCCTAATTCACTGTGCACATGTTAACGTCCTTCCACTATATAAAAGAGAAGACTTAACTAATGCTGCAGTAGTTTCTAGAGCTCCATCTGACAAGCTGATATGAATATCATTAGCTCCAGAGACAGCTGACATTATTCTGTGGGCTGGTACAACTTATAGGTCTAGTCCATCCCTGGTTACAAGATCTGGCTCACCAAAGGAGCCAGAAACCTTAGCCTAATCAGTTGCCGCATTGTTTCATAGAACTTTTCCTGTGACAGAAAAAAAAAAAGGAATTCCTATCAATTAGATCAATTAGAATGTTTACTTTTCACTTTTTATGTTTGATCATAAAAGAAATCAATCAACTTTTAAGTTCTGCAATCTATAGATTGTTATAAAGCAAGCCTTGCCTATTCTTCCCCAATTTCCATTTTACCAAAATAAATACTCAGAAAAGTTATAACTTGTTTTAAAGTCAGTTTCACATCACTGGGGATGGCACGCTATGGTGTTCCCCTAAGGTTCCTTATGAGTCCAGTGACTATGCCAAGACCCTGATTTCCTCTAGACATAATGCAGTAAGCATTAGAATAACCACTGTTTGGGTCCTCTAAAGAAAGACGACACTCTGAATGAACAGCACTGGTTAGTTCAGTTGGCTATTTGGGGGGTGTCTTCTTTGTCTCATCATGACTCAGAGGCTGTTGTTAGCTGCTGCCAGACGGAATCCCAGAAAGTGGCACTAAGTCTGGCTCCCAGTCGAGAACTGTCCCGAATGGTAGCTGCTGGAGAGAGAAAGTCGCTGAGGGCAGGTATACCAACCCCGGTCCAGGGCAGGCTCCATGCTCAGGAGTAGTTGGCCAACACAAATTGGACTCCATGGTTTTTTGTGGCCTTTTTGTTTGTTTTTGAAAAAGAACAAGAACTTGGCTGGGTAGCAATTTGGGGAGAGCCAGGGAGGAGTTGGGGAACAGCTGAATATGATAGTTTACTGTATGAAATTCTCAGAGAATAAAAAAAATGATCCCTGTCAGTCCTGATTCATTGCTCTAGAGGGAAGCACTCAGCTTGCAGATTTGGTGCAGGTGTGGCCTGTGGGATCCAGGTTTCCGGGTGCTCCTTTGGCGTTCAGGGGCGGTGTCACATGAAGCAGTGTCAGGCTTCATGTCTTCATGTTTGTGCTCCTGTGTTGGACTGCAAAACTGAGCCTTCTCTTTGCAGTCTGTGTCCCCCGTCCTGACATGTATGCATGCAGTCAGCCCTCAGTGTTCTTGGACCAGTTCCTTTTAGAAAATGGTGGAGTATATAACCTGTACACATATTGCTGTGTATTTTAATTAATCTCTAGATTAGTGATGATACCAAGATGATATAAATAGTTGCTATGGTATATTATTTTTAAGGAGTAATGACAAATATTACAAGTGTTCAGTGCAGTTTGTTTTTTTTTTTTTTAATTTCAGTCTACTGTAGGTTAAATCTGCAGATGTGGAACCCATGGTTATGGGACTGAATGTTGCGGAAACTTAGTGCATAATCAGAGTGGAATGCAGGGGATGGACTTTTGCCTTGTTGGAGGTCAGGAGGTCATCTTGCTAGATTCACGGAAGACCTTAATTTGTACTAATACAAAGAGATAATAAAGAATAGAAATTATGTTGGATAGTGCTGCTTAAAGTTTATTTCAGTAACATTAAGGCTTGGAGGAAAACTGTAAATATATATTTTAACTTGTCATGAGTTTGACCTAATTCTTTTAATTCATTATTTTATTCCTGTAAGCTGTTCTGCAGGAATTCCACAGGAGAAATCTGAGATGTTCCTGTTGCCAATTTTTCACATAGATTTAAACCAGATAATTTAATGGCATTGATTAAATATCTGTTTACCTGAAAGTAAAGTCATGATCCTGTACTTGAGATTTTAATCTGTGACTTAATAGTCAAAGCATTCTAAGTTCAGTCATGTATTTCCACCCAAGAAAGCGGATGTGGATAGAAAGTAACTGTGTGCTTTGATGGTTTAGCACAGCATGAGCTATGACAGATTGTCAAAGAAAGCATGAAGATTCTGGGACCTACTTACGTTTCCATTGTAATTAACTATTACTGCCATAAAATTGTGTGCATTCTGTTTTATTTCAGCTAGGTAATCTTGGTTAATTTTGTACCTTTTTCTCTGAAAGCTTTTGACCAAACATTTTTTGAGAAAAAATATTATCACAATATCTGTCTCTGCGAATAATTTATGGAAACAAAGCTTTTGTGCCAACTGAAGAAAAAGGCTTAAGTCCAACATCTTGATTAACTATTGACTGAGTTTCTTAGTTTTCCTTTGTGTTTTGATGTGTTACAATATAGCTTTGAATGGTAGATTGTACATTCCAAAAACATCCCTCAGAATAAGTGTCCCTGTGGTTAATTCTTCAGTGTCTTCATGAAGAATAGGCAAGAAGTTCAGATTCAGAGGGTGCCACATTGGTAATTTGGCTCAAACTGCTTGGGGAGAATAATCTCTCTCCTAAAATGAAGCCCAAGGATAAGTAATAACTTTTTATGCATGATAAGCATCAGAATATGAACCTGCTGGTCTTTGCTTTTCATTTCTCTTACCTCTGTCTTTCAGTGAGTCCCTCCTGCAGTGTGCACATGATGTGATCAATAACTCAATAACTTCTCTCATGCAGTAATTATCTCCCTGTGATACTATCTGAACACTGTTTTCCTTTATTACCCAAAGATGCAGGGGATATTTATATAACCAGCTGATCCCATTTTAGATAAAGGTGCTTTCTGACAGCAGGGGAATCATTTACTTTAAATAGCCTTTTAAATAAGTGCTGAATGAAAAGCTTTGCCAGTTAATTTTCACTTACCATGAGAAGGTGATTACCAAAAGGGAGAAAAGCCCAAAACTTTGTGCAAGTTCTGCTTAGAACTTGTACTTTGCAGTTAATACAATCTGATAAGCCCAATTTGAATTAGAGCATTGAGTCATTTAACATAGTTCTACTTTTCATTTCCTCTAAATCATTAGTTATATGCCAGGGTATAAAATAAAGACACATTAGTTCTCGTCTTGACATGTCTCACAAATGTTCTTATTACAGGCAGAAATCCTGCAAGAGTCCCGGATGATGATCCCAGATTGCCAGCGCCGGTTAGAGGCTGCATATACTGATCTTCAGCAGATATTAGTAAGTAAAGATTTCTTGAACTCATATTTTAAATTGTCTTCAATCTAATATGCAGAAAACTAAAACTTTGAATATTTAACACTGCAGCTATTTAAAGAGATAGATTTTTATTCATTTGTCCTCTGTCTTGGTTTCTTCTATTGGATGATGAAATACTCTTGGAAAGTTTCATTTTAGCTCTGAATTCCATGTTACAGTCCATCAGAGCAGGGAAGCCACAGTGACTAGAGAGAGCTGGTTGCATTGTATCCATAATCAGGAACAGGATGCAGTGGATTCATGTGTGTTTGTCTCCCCTGCTTAGGGATGGTCCAGCCCAAGATAGTCTCCTGATGTCATACTCGGAGACCAGCATTAATGTAGACAGCCCCTCACTAGTGTGCCTGGAGGCTTGCCCCCAGGTTTTGACAGCACTAAGCACTGCACCCTGGGAACCAGCATGCTTACGCTTACATCCTTTGTGACTTCAGAACAGACACGACGTGGACAGTAGCCAAGTTCTGTTGACAGCCTTTCCCCTCTGGACCACAGCTGGGTCAGCTTCTGTGTGCTGAAGACACACTTTCCTGTGCAGTTCCTTTCCAGGAATGGGATGCCTTAGGCTTTCTTCCTCTTAGTGACTTTGCATCTTCTCAAGATGGAGCCTTCCAGACCCTCTTCCCCTTCCAGTGCAGCACAAGAGGCTTCTCTATGGAATACCATTATCTTTACATTTAACCTCACTCAGGTCCTCAGAGCAAGAGCAGGAGGAAGCCAGGTGCTTGGTCACAATGTCACAGGAATGGCCCCAGCCCACTTCCTGAGAGTCATTCTTCTCTCTGTAACCTTCTATGCAGGCCCTCCTCCACATTATATTCCATTTTCTCACATTCTGTTCTTCCACACTCCCATTAGAATGCCCATTAGCCTCTGCTTTCATCATTGAACGGATTTTCTAAACCAGTGTACCAAACACTTCCACATTCTTCCCACAAAACAGTTCTATTCGCCCAAAAGCCACATGGTCATGTTTATCACAACAGCTGCCCTCCTTCTCAGTACCGGTTTCTACCTTAGTTTTGTTTCTTGTTGCTGTGGTAAAATACTGAATAAAAGCAACCAACTTAAGGGACAAAGAGGTTATTTGGCTTGTCATTCCAGGTTACATCCCATCAAGGTGGCAGGAACTTGAAGCAGCTAATCACATTACATCCTTAGTGAAGAACAAAGAGGAATGAGCTAATGTCGTCCAGTGATTCTAGATTGTAGACACTCTAGACAGTTTACACTGACCATCACACAACATGGTGGCAAGCACCCTCAATCCCAGCGCTTGGGAATCAGAGGCAGGTGGATCTCTGTGAGTTCAAGGACAGCCAGGGCCACATAGAGCCCCTGTCTCACAAACAAACCGTCACAACTACCCTAGTTTCATTTCTATTGTTGTGATTTAATATATATATATATATATATGTATATGTTATATGTATATATACACACACACATATATATGACTATATATCTGTGTGTGCATATATGCATACAGCTGTTAATCCCACCAGGAGAGAATAAGACCACTACTACAATTTTTGAGCCACATTTGAATCAGGCTTTATTAAACATTGGTCAGGAAGATGGACACTGGCCAAGTCCATACCCAGGATACCCAGAGAATAGCTCTGAATTATGTTAGTCAGGTGCTTATAAAGGCAAAACACACAAGGCTGTGTACTTCCTGCCTTCATCCAATGGGGACAAGCAGGCATCCTGACATACTTCCTGCCTACAGACCTCCAGCCTGTGTGTGATCAAGCACATCCTGTGCAGTTGGGCAACGAGCCTTGGTTCCAGAAGTAAAAACATGTGGCTTGTTATCTTACATGAATAGCCCCCAGAATTCCAGGAAGTTTTCTGTCCCTGGGCAAGTGGACTTGCAGGTTAAAGGCAGTTTTGTTTTATAAATCTCTTAAGCACAGACATTTAAACTTAAAGCATAACTTTAGTCCTTACAAAGCAGCTTCAGGGAGAAAGGGTTTAGTTTTGCTCACAGTCCAGATTTTAGTTCGTTATTATGGGGAAGTCAAGATGCAGGAGCTTGAAGCAGCTAGTAATGTCAGAGAAATAAATATGTACATGCTCACTGGGCTTAGTTCAGCTTCTCTGCTGTATTCCAGGACCCCCAGCCTAGAGAATGGTGTTGCCTACAGTGTGCTGGGTCTCTGTCCCCACAGACCATCCCCCACAGACATGCTCCAGCCAAACTAATGTGGACGGTTCCTTATGATACTCTCTCGGGGGATTTTGGATCGTGGCTAATTGACAAAGCAAATTGTCATGATGATCAAGTCACTGTTGCTGTTTGATAATTGATGAACTCTTAACATTTCTTTTACTAATCTTATTTTTAATGTTTATATTTCCTATGCTGATACTAATTATTAGACACATAGCTGTTCTTTCCCTTACTCATAATTGTTCCCTTAGGAGAAAAGTAAAATATTTTCAGTATGCTCATATATAGTCTAGGAAAAAGAATGAAATTTATGTTTACCAACAAATTCTGACTAAATCTATAGGGCACAAAAAAGAGGAAAATGTTTTTATTTTATGTACTAATTTTGACTGGAATTCTGTCTATAATAAATCTTTTTAAGGATCATGAGTTCCTATGACTCAGCAATTTTTAAAAAGATTTACTGTTTTTAATTATGAGTATGTATATGGGTATATACACATGACTGCAGGTAGGTATCCTGAGGCCAGAGGCATCTGACCTGCGTGGAGCTGTGAGCACCTAAGATGGGTATTGGTCAAGCTCTGAACTCTGGAGGCCTCAAGTGCTCATAATTCACTTCGCCATCTCTCCAGCCCTATAATGAATTCCTAAAAGGCAGGATGAATCTTCACATTAAAAGAGGTGCTAATGTTTTGTTTGATGTCAGTATGATATAATTATTAATAAGACAATCCACTTTTCTAATTCAATTGTACTTAACTTGTGTGATGTCAGTAACAAGCTTTGGTGTTGGGCATAATTGGAGTATTATTTTATACTGGATGTTGTCATATTATTAACTAACACATTAGCAAATCCTTGTTTTTTACTTTTAATACATTGTAAATAATCTTTTTGTAGGATAATGTTGGCCAAATAAGAATGATTTTAAATTAATGAGATTTTTATTTAATTACTTAATGCTAATAATTTTAGGCAACTGTGTTTATAATTACAACGTGAAAATATATAATACAAGAATATATGATGAAAACAAGTTAACCTCTCATTTCTTCTGTTCCCAGTAACAAAGGAGCAGAGGTGGATAAATTTAGAAATCCTAGAATCCTTTTCTTTAATTCTTGGGTTACTTACTGGTCTATAGTATCAAGTATGGAAATTCCTAAAGGACAAACTTAATTGTGCTCTTTTTCATTTCAGGAAAGTGAAAAAGACTTGGAAGAAGCCGAGGAGTATAAAGAAGCACGTGTAGTTCTGGATTCAGTGAAGTTAGAAGCCTGAAGTTTTGCTGTACAGGGTGTTTTTTGCATTAAATCCTGGGGTCCACTCTACAATTCGTTATTTTTGGCCACTGCTGTGTTTAGTAATATGAAAATGTGGTTCTTTTTATGCAGTTGCATATATTTTTCTTTGCATAACTTAATGTGTCAAATGAATGAGTTCATCTAATAAAATTGTTTATTTCATACTTTACAAAAATTTCAGTTGGCCACTTAGTTAAATGGTTGTTCATTAAGTCACATAGGTGTTTTTGACATATGTCACTTTCTATCTGAAGGTTAAATTGTAATTGTAGACTGGTTTAAAAATAGAGTACATCAGCTGGGGAGACCAGGGAGGAGTCTGTCTGTGCAGATGTGGGAGCCCATGTCCCTGCTGGGCAGACTTCTGGTGCGGCCTTTGGGCAGAGTGGCGCCCACACCCCTGTGGGTAACCCCCCACTTACTCTCTGTAAGAGTTCCCAATAAACTCATGGGTTCCCCAGCTTGAATTGTGGCAGAATCATGCCTTGGTGTGTGTTGGGCCCTTGACTTGGTTTGTGTGTCCCCACGAAGGAATTCAGCAACGTGACGGCACAGCCAAAAGTGGACTGGAGTTTGTACTTCTTGTCCTGTTTTGGTGTGGTGCTAGTGATGGACCTCGGGCTTCAGACATGGAGGCCAAGTGCTCTGCCACCAATTCACCTCTCCCGCTGGAGTTTTGACTTCCTTCCTATTCTGAGATAGGCTCTGGTTAAGCTCCTCGGGTTCCCTGAGCTCACAATAGAGTTCACAAAGGCCTCAAACTTAATTCTGCCTGTCTCAGTCTCCTGACTCGCTGAACTTACAGATCATTGCTACCAGGTGCAGCCAAACTGTCTTCATGACTGGAAACAAGTATCATTTTGTCACCAAGTATTTTTCCTGCAGGATTATAAGCCTGTTGGCAAATCATTTAAGGTTTTGTTTGTTTGTTTTTTCTCTAGAGTATACAACTCACTTAGTTTCTTATATGCCTAGAACATGTGGGTAACTTCACGGCCTCAGCTAAACATGGCATTGATACAGTGAACCAAAATAGTACTAAATAACATAGGAAGTGTAAAACCACGATGGAGAAAAGACACAGGGCTAGAAGTGCTTACAGTGGTGGTGTGTTGATCTGGTTTTCTGGACAGCATGTACCCTCCTCCCGATTTAGTCTCTTATTTGTACTTGGCTATGGGAAGATCAGACCTAGTGAGTCGTTTTTCCCCAGTGATCCTGACAGGAGCTTTCCGGTTGAGCTTTCATCATTTGCATTTCTTAATGGGTGTTAATTTCTCCTTAGCCTGTACTGCACCATGTAAACAGTTCTTAGGAAGAAATAGGACAGGGGCGGGAGGGGGGTACACTGAAAATAAGCACGTTTGTAAGTAATGAAAACTGATTGATATAATGTACATCTAACATTTCTTAACTTTCTTGACAGTAACATTCAAAGCTTAACATTTTACAACTGCCTATACCTGTGCACTGAATCTCTTCCAAATTGAAGAGTCAAACTTGTTTAATCTAAATCACTTTGCAGACTTCATCACATTAGTTGGCTTTTTAAAAACCCTATCAAATTTAATAAGGACATATCCTATAGTTGGTTGTCATTTAAATCTTATTATCAGGTCATTTAGATAAACCAAGGACAGATTAATCCCTTCTTTGACAAATTGGGGATTTTAAATGTTGGTGGAAATCTGGTGTGAGAGCATGAGTTCTGAAGCTTTGGCATTAAAGGGTTAATCAGATGGTGTAGTCCTTGAAGCCCTGTTGAGTGTGTTAGCTGGAAAGAATTGAATGGTTTAGAAATAGTGTACTGTGAAACAAATTAGAAGTATTAGTGTAATTGAAATTCAAGAGTGCTTCTTAAAATCCACATCATACTCCACTACTCATCTTCCTGCTCTCATGAGAAGTATTTTGCATTGGACACTCACACAGACATGTAGAATTATCTTACAGTAGGCCCATGCCTTCCTTCTAATGCATGCCTTCTGATGCTTTTGTATTTTTCAAGGGAAATATTTTCAGTATGTATTTACAAAAGATGTAAATACTTTTAATGCACAGTTCTTTCAAATTAATACAGTTTTTTTTTTTTCAATAAAAGATGAATGAAAAATGGTTCATTCACAGAGGAAGAAATGCAAATGAATAGTTGTGTTCCTAATGTTCTAATCAGGTTCAAATTGATAATGAATACCAAGTTGTTAGCCTGGTATATTTAAGTATCAGCTGATAAGACGAGATAAGGGGAAGAAATGAGAAATTAATACTGGAGAAGTTGCACTGTTCTCATTATAAGCAGCTGATAAGTACCAGGAAAACATGAACTACCTGTACAATTAGATATTAAATTAATACAGGCACTTACAAAACTATCCAAAAGTGAAGACTTTGATTATGTCACCCAAAAAGACATGTGGAAGACCTAACCTCCATAGTTTGAGATTGGAGCTGTGTTTGTAAATGGGACTCTTGTAGAAAGAGATGAAACCATTGATTCACCCAGTATGACTGACATCCTAGTGGTGAGAGGACAGGAGAAGGCCATATGATGTCCCTGTGAGCTATGGGCACCCAGGGGATGCAGAAGTAAAGAGGCAGCCATGGCGTGTTCTCCCGTGGTATCTCAGGATCTAACCATGCTGATGTTCAGGGAGATGTGAAATAGTCTGTCCTCACACCCAGGCTGTGGTTCTTCCAGCAGTCATGAAATGTGTGTGTAGAACCCAGGAGCTCTCACGTGTGGCAGCAGTAACCAAATAGAAGAGGACTGAGTGAGCTCCAGAGAGTCAAATAGGATACTTTAAAAGTAACTTGTACTGTATATGGAGAAAAAATACTGTGGAAAAAGTGTTATTTCTTGTGTCAATTGAAGTTCAATGTACAACAGTTTGAAGCAAGGAAGAGTTTGATGGAATGACTCTGAAATCCAACGGAAGGACTTTTGTTGTTGTTCAAACAGGAAGCCAGAGCTGGGAGTGAAATATGAAAAAGAATGTTGAGAAAACTAGCTCTGCCTACTATTACAACTTACACCTCAATACGTGACACTTGCCTAGTGTGTACGAGGACCTGGGTTTGATCCCTAGAGCTCACACACCAAGTGCATGCACACATACTTTCTGTAAAGAGAAAATGGGGTCAGGAGCAAATTATATATGATATATATATATATGGAAATACATACAAATTTACATGTACATACATAAATTCAGTGTATGATAAAAGGTATTTTAGACCCCTGGAGGAAAAATAGATTATTATTGACTCGCTAGCAATCTGAAAAACAAAATACAGATATTTTTACCTCTGACACCAAAATACATTTAAGTTGGTCAAAGATTTCAATATGAAAGAGAAAAAGAATAAAAAGCTGGAAGAAACTACTGATGAAGACTTTTTCAATTCGTGCAGTGAGTAGAGAAGATGGAGCTTAGTGCACTGTTAGGAGAATATTTTCAAGATTCTCCACAAATTAATGTTAGATGCAACCCAGCCTGCATCAAAACTAGGGATAGGGCAAATAAGCAGAAGACTACCTCGGAAAATCTTAAGATGGAGCCTGGTCAGGAGAAAGGTAAGAAGCATTGCCGAGGATGCTGAAGTTTAAGCTACCCATCGGGAAGGGTGGAACTGGTGTCATCTAAGACGCCCACAGAAGAGACAAAAGAGAGCTGTACCCAGCATTTATCACATGCTTGCCTCATAGAGCCTCGGCAGTGGTGCACACCTTTAATCCCAGCACTCAGGAGGCAGAAGCAGGTGGATCTCTGTGAGTTCAAGTCCAGCCTGGTCTACAGAGTGAGTTCCAGGACAGCCAAGGCCACACAGAGAAACCCTGTCTAGGAAAAAACAAAAAAATAGGAAAAGAAGAAAAGAAATCAATTGAGGAAGCTTGGACATTGGATAATTGATACCAATGAATTAGTATTAATTTCTTAGTTGTGATGTTGTTATATTTGGTTGTGTTTTTTTTTTAACAGCGGTGCATATCTTTGAGAGGTTATGCTGGTGTATTGATCAACTAAATTACAACATGGATGAGTTTTTCTTGAAAGCAATTCAACAGACTGAGACAGTCACTGCTGACATGGTCATTTTGTTTTGCTTACTTATTGTTGAGACCATAAAGTTCTTCCCATATCCTGGATACTGTACCACATGTATCTTTGGGACGTACTTCCTCCCAATCTAGCATATAGGTGGCCAGTTCTTCAGCACTATTTGCTAAACAGACTGCGCTTGCCGTTTTCCGATTAATTGGCCAAGTTCTGTGGGCTGCTTCCGGACCCTGTTCTGTTCCACTGACCCATTTTCTGTCCTTTCAACACCACCTGTCTCGACTGCTCTCACTTTATAGCAAACCTTGAAATTGGACAGTGCTATCCCCCATCAGCCTGTGTTATTTATTCTGGGTGGTGTTTTTATTTATTTATTTATTTATTTATTTATTTATTTATTTATTTATTTAATCCATGAATCAATTCATTGGTCTCCACAGATAACCTGCTGAGATTTTGATGGGATTGCATGAGGCTGTAGATGAATGAAGTCAAGAAGGACTGACATCTTAACACTGTCGCTAAAAACATGGATGTCTATCTAGTTTTTTATTTTGTTCCCTGTAATTTGCCCCAAGGACATCTTGTATGGATTCTGTTAGTTAACACCTGTGTATTTCATTTTCCAGGCATTCAGAAATAAATTATACTGTGCTTTTAGTTTGGAACTCTGCTTGCTCATCAGCAGTACATAGGAAAGCAGTTTCTGTGATCACGTGTTAGTTCACGAGCATTAAGTCCTTTGGATGTCCACATAGACAGTAATGACTTCTTTGCATAAAGACAGTTTTACTTCCTTCCTGTGCTATTAGTTTTTTGTTTGTTTTATTTCAACTTGACACAAATTTGGGAAGAGGAAACTCAATTGAGAAAACGCCCCCATCAGATTGTCTTTCAGGTCTCTAGTAGATGTGGTCTTGGGTGCTAAAAGAAAGCAAGCTGAGCAAGCCATGGGGAGCAAGCTAGTGTAAGTAGCCTTCCTCCATAGTCTCTGCTGCAGTTCCTCCCTTGAGTTCCTGCCCCTACTTTCTTTTACAGTGGACCATGATGTGGAATGAGAAGGTAAAGTAAATCCTTTCTCCCCAAGTTGCTTTTGGTCATGGGAGAGCAGCGGCAACCCTAAGACACTTCCCAATCCAGACACCTTTAAATTTATTGTCTTACTTTCTTGGCTAGAAGTTCTAATGAGCAGTTATCAAAGGGAGCATCCTTACCTTGTTCATTCTCAATGGGAGAGCATCTAGATTTTTTTTTTTTTTTTACCATTAACTATTTTTTACCATTTACAAAGTCAGCTGTAGGGTTCTCATGCATGTTCTTTGTCAAGTTCAGGAATGTCAGTTTAGTGAGAGTGTCGGTGTTGGATTTTATCAAATGCTTTCTCTGTTCTCTTGATATGATCATATGGTTTTTCTTTTTCAGTCTGTGGATGTGATTAATTACATTAAATGATTCTTAAATATGGATCCATCCTTGCATATGGAAAGTCCCATTTGGTCTTTGTGACATGGAATTCTAGACAGGAAGGAAGGGCCATTTGTAGAAATCTGATTTCTGAGGACTGTCTGAAACACACGCCTGTCAGTATGTTAGCATCCTCTGGCACAAATGGCATATTTGACGTTGGATAATATCCTTTCTGATGTACAGTAGGTACCTCCCATGTCAGACACCCTCTTTGGGACATATGAATATCAATATTTCAACATCCTAAGACATGTATGTATGTATATCATGGTTTATGGTCATTAACCTCCTTTACAAATCATCTGATCAGTGGTCAGTAATGCTGTTTTTGAGTAACAGACAAGGTTGGAGGCCTCCTGAATTAAGCAGAAAGTCCATTTTACCTGAAAAGGACCAGCTCAAAGCAGTAAGATAGACATGAAGAAAGTGGGAGGAATAATTATCCCCTAAGGAAATGTGTGCTTACACACCACAAAGGGCAATAGCTCTAGACAACAGCTCCTAGGCTGCCACTGCTGAGCCTGACACGACTGAGCCAGCCCACTTTCTTGATTTCTAGCTCAGAAAACATAGCTTTCTATCTTCCTCTTCTTTCCATGTCCCTTCTACCAACAGCTCCCCATCTCCAGTCCACCTACCCTGTTTCTTCTTCCTAACTCTAAGGAATCATCCTTGAGTTCCATCCTTGAGTACCTCATTGAGACAATGGGTAACAGAATCTCAGGGTTCTATTATCTGAACAAGAGGTGAATGAGTCTTTGCTGCTCTGAGCACCTGAGATTTTGCGGCTTTTGTTATGCAGCATGGCCTAGCAGGCCACCGATATACCTTGTCCTTTCTCACCCATCTCCAAAGAACAAGATTGACTTTCCCTCCAACCTTCCTAAAGTCACAGGTCTGCCTTTGTGTTGTTATCAAAGGCATCAGTTCTCAAGAATATTCATTCTTTTCCCTCCTCCCCGATCAAGCCAACAGCAACACAAATCTATGTTCTCTAACTAGAAAATTTTCCGAGGGGCTCACTTCTCTGCTCATGAAGAGCTCAGTCCCCACATTATCTGTGTCACTTAAAAACCCCAAGTTCCTGCTTGGCTTCAGAGACCCTCAGAGCCCAGCTGAGGATCCCCAGGTTTGCTTTCTCCTCCACTTGAGTCAGGGAAGCTACCAACTCACACAGGCCACAGTGTGGACACCTCTTGACAGCTCTGCTCCAGAGCTGTGGCACTCTCGGACACTCACACTGCCTGTTCACACCCTACCATTCTCTAAAGCCGGCCTAGTGCATCTACTCCTGTCTGGAAATGTTTATCATCTGTACCTTTTTGTTGTTATTTTCAGCATCTGACTACTACTTTCCACCTCCTCACCAGGCAGAGCCTAGCTTTCTTGCAGGAGAGGAACTAAAAAATGCTGTGCCAACATGTATCCATATCCCAGGCCCAATTAGCCACACTCCTTCTAGATTTCTTAACTGGAGCTGTTGCTACCAAACAAGGCCAGCCTTTCATGCTGAAGCATAGACGGACCACTGAGGAAAAGCAAGAATTTGAAAAATACAGGATGTAGTTTCAGGTCTACATCCAGGATAAAAAGAGATGGTGATGTAACCAGAAATTAGTCACTGCCAGCTCCCTAGGCTGGAGAAGGGGAAGCTGTCTAGGGTGCAGGGTCCAGGGCTGGTTGCAGAGGCAACATGCTCCTGCCCCAGGAGCCTGTGTATAGAGTCTATCATGAAAGCAGTCCCCCTGAGCTGCCGAGGTTGACATTGGCAGGTCACCCGAGAGAGAAAGACAGCACTTGCCATTTCTGCTCCTTTTCAAAGCAAATTATTTTCTGATGAGTTATCTTGTGTCCCAGAGGTCAAGTGGCATAATTCAACAGTAGAAGGACATAACCTGTCCATCTGGCTGCTCCGAACTCTCAGTGTGAGGAGCAGGAATCCCTCAACCCAGCGGCTACAGATGTGTGGCCAGGAAACCTCCGCTGGGCAGGGCTCCCGACCATATCATCCTCTGTTCCTGTGTCATGGTCTTCAGTCCTGATCACAAACGCCTTGGAATTGCATAATGCACAGGGACCTCTTTAGTATTGTGATGGGCTGCTACCCCTCTCCCCTCTAGATGGGTTTCTCTGTAGAGCCTTGGCTGTCCTGGAACTCACTCTGTAGCCCAGGCTGGCCTCAAACTCAGAGATCCACCCACCTCTGCCTCCTGAGTGCTGAAATTAAAGGTGTGCACCACCACTGCCTAGTGGGCCACCTCCTTTTAAAGATTCTGTTAATCCCAGCACTCAAAGGGCAGGGGCAGGCAGTTCTCTGTGAGTTGGAGGCCAACCTGGTCTACAGAGTGAGTTCCAGGGCAGCCATGGCTGTTACATAGAGAAATTTTGTCTCAAAAACAAAACAAGAACAACAACAAGAATCTGTTGTAAGGACCCTAGGCATTGTCACTCAGCCTCAGGTTGGCCCCAGGGACTTCAGTGGCCTCCTTACAGAGACCTCCCAGCTTGGCAGGGCCACTTACCCCACCACTCTGATTGCCTGACTTTCTACTTCTCCCAACTCGCTGTAGACCATCCATTTCTCCAGGGCCCTGGCAAAGCTCAGTTTGCAAGTCAATCTGGTTAGAAGCTGTTCTCTTCTGCCCTCCTGCACCTCTGCTTCCCCCCACCCCAACAGGTAATTCCAGGGGCATAGGAACATGGTTAAGAGCAAAAGCTACATGTTTCTGAAAATGAAACTGTTGTTTCTAAGTAGGGAGGTTAGCAAAGTTAAAAGTGAGAAAAATATCGGCCTGCAGAAAAGAGGAGGGGTGCCAAGCAGTGGTGGTACACAGCCTTTAATCCCAGCACTCGGGAGGCAGAGGCAGGCGGATCTCTGAGTTCGAGGCCAGCCTGGGTTACAGAGTAAGTTCCAGGACAGGAACCAAAACTACATGGAGAAACCCTATCTCAAAAAACCAAAAGAAAAGAAAAGAAAAAAGAAAAGAGGAGGGGCTGGTGAGATGGCTCGGTGGTTAAAGATACTTGCTGCCAAGCCTGATGACCCAAGTTCAATTCCTGGGATCCACAGAGTAGAAGGAGAGAACCAATTCCCACAAGCTGTCCTCTTACCTCCACACCTATGACCATGGCATGCATGTGACGCGTCCCACTAAATAAAGACACTTTTTTCTTT